TAGTATTCTAGCATCCTGCTTCGCTATCTTGTACTACGTGAAAGAGGTCAGTCCCGGTCAGGTCAGGACTTGTATCTAAAGTCTTCCCTGCGCTATAAAGCACCATTTTGTATGTATCGGAATGCACATTGCTTGTTGAGATTCCACTTGCACTGCATTGTCCATTAGTCCTTTTCCTCACATTGCGGATGCTCGGTTTATATGTACATCGCCCAAATGGGCATGTAACAGGTGGTTTAGCATCCACCCATGTTCCCAATAGCCTGTGGTCTATGTCTTGGCCGAACCATTTATAGGTTCAGAGCTGGCTCACGCAAAGGCACTGGATTTGAATTTGACTTCTAAGATTTTGGTGGAATACTTTCAAAAGGACACTCTTTTGAAAACAATGCTTTCGAAAGTGGAAAAATAGAATCAAATTCAAGTCTGTTCCCTCCAAGGAACGTTCTACTGGAATACTGAACGCTTGAAAAACGTTCTACTAGGTATTGCCAATTAAATACACCTTTTCGTTAAAGCTGTTTGATTATTAGCCTCCTCTCTTGATTGATGGGGGGCAGGTGTCAGAGATTGGTACGTCTATGCTTATTTCCCCCTCACGTGAGCGACAAAAAGTTGCTCATACCCCTTTGCACTCGAACGCCTTGGCATCCTAAATGGAAAAAAAAAACATCCGTTCAAAACATCTAGGTGTTATGCTCCGGGGAGAAGGTGGGGTCATAAAGTTCAAATGCCAGGTGTCTTTGTCGAACCTGAGTTAGCGGCTAACACACTAGGAAGTTAGAAGCAGTCAATATTTTGGTCCAATCCAGAAGTAGTTAGCACTGCAGCCAACAAGTCCACAGCTTAAAAGAGTCACAACAGACTCCTGTTGCCTGCTGGAACTCTGGCGACTGCTTTAGCAACACTAGGACATTACCAAACAGGTCAGAATTGCCACCACAAATCAGCAAATGTGTGCTGCAAGCATTAATGCCTCGAGTATCCACCTATAGGAATTCGCCTACTGATTCCTTAAGGATACTTCTTATCTGTGAAACTGGGAGATACTTTGAACAGTCAAAATGTTTACGCTAATGAGAAAAACAAGGACAATCCAGAAATTCGGCAAGGATGTCCTTCCGGAACAGGGCAATCAATTCTCCTTCGGAGATTGGCAGTCACGCGCATTTGATCAGACTAGAAGCCTTGACCAACGCTTTTATTGCCCATACCTGTTCATGAATGCTGCTGTTTTGAGGTGCTAACTGCAGGCTCCACTTCGATCTGATGATATCCTGAATGCCGATCAAGCTTAGAGAACATGGCACATCCTGCAACACGATCTAACAAATCATTAATGTGTCTGCTTATTGATCAGCATGCCACCGAGTTAACTTCGTCTTCTTCAGTCGCAAGCCCTCTGGAATATATAGATATATGCATAGGAAAAATACATATATATAAGGAAAACATGTCCCATCTCACCATCCTTCTTGAAAAGCAGCACAGAGGTGTCAAATGGACGACAGTCTGAGAACCAAAATGCCATTTCCACCACTCTTCACCTCGGGCGAGATCCACCTCACTGAGCCCTTGGGATGATGTCGGCATGTATCATGGTCTCTTTTCAACCTGGCCCTTATCGGTTCAAAATCCTGACCTCTTCGTTAGTCCAGTAACTTCAAGCAAAATTCACGGGAAGTTCACCATCAGTTAGCTGCACATAATAATGGTAAATCAGGTCAACACACTCGCAGATCTGCCACAGCATGTGCACATCTGCTCTATAATCGATTTATCCCATCAGCAACCAACCTTGACCGAGTGCGGTTGTGGTTACATGGTCCATCCCACTCGCCGCGTGCAGATTGTGTCCTGTGCAGTGCAGGGAAGGTACCGGAAAACAGTTCAAAAGCAATGCTGTATGTTACAGCAATGTTGCAAACCACCAGTACCTCCAGGCCTTTCCTCACAAATTTGTTTCCCCCATTTCATGCAGGCTGTTGAAACCAACATGAGTTCTCGTTTTTCAGCCCCCAAAACAGTCCGGGAGGCAAGTAAGCCCACATGGCAAGTGAATAGAAGAGGAAAGCACCCTTGACTAGTCCAGTATACAAAAGTTGTCAGGACAACATTCCGCAAACCAACAACAGAGCTTCTCCTTGAGGATATTCAAGGAATTGTGGTGTCATGCAATGCAATTCGGGCCTGTCATAGGAAACTGGTGGTTCTGCTTTGTAACACTCAAGGAGCCTTGATTTTTGTGGCACGTCCTGTTTGCTGCACCCACCATCTACTCCACTCCTCCAGCACACTGTCAGGGACAGCAATCATGGTCCTCTGCCCACACTTCTTTCACCCTGACGGGAGATTTCTGGGATGTGGCCATCCAGAAGGCGGGAGTTTTCAATCACACTGCTATCCCAAGTACCCAGCAGTGCCCTGATGACCACGAAGTAGATGATGTCCTCCTAGACATGCCTGCACTGCAGCACAACTGCAGTCTGTTTAGTGGGTTCTTCTACTCCAAACAATAGACGATCTTGGTCCTCTTTAAGGGACGAGACCTTAAGCAGCCAGCAGCATGATAACATAGTGTGCACACCTATGCAGTATTCATTCCACAGAATTGACTGGCATAGGGAGGTAGCACATATGGTCAACATTCTCCCATCTCCTGAAGACCATAAAGCGAATCTGAAAGCATGGCAGCATCGTGGTCCTCTCTGAATGACTGGACCTTAAGGAGCCAGCAGGACAACAGACTCTACAGTAATTCACCAGCACCAGGACATACTTCTGGTTGACTCTTGTTCCCTAACCTGTACTCGTGCCAACAAACTGGGTTAGAGTGAAGAGAGAAGCAGTCCTCTCCTGAGCATTCCTTTCATTGAAAGTCAGGAGAGTAGAAGACCTGGGTGCTCCATAGCGGACCAGATATTCTTCGTGCGCCAGCATAGTAATAACGTCTACACCATCAGCAGTAAGTATTACCAGAAATCAACCCATACCCTACATTGTAGATATCATAAAGCAGTCAAACTACATTACACTGCTACATTTGGCCCCAAAATAATATCAATCGGGTAGCATCAATCAGAGAACACCAGAGTTATACTGAGGTTGCACCCTTGCATAAGATGGGCAAGGAACCATGAACTACCCCCAGAGCATCATATAAGTTTGTAGACAATTTCAGAGGTTGATGCACACTTAGCATCCCTGTCCACACAGTTGCCTAGACCTGGAACAGTCACCTAGCTCAATGCACAGCCAGCGACAACATTTTTCACACACCCTACCTACGGCACACAGCTTATGTTCTGACTTGTCCACTCTACTCATTCACATGGCTTCCATATATGTCAGGTACACGATGGTAATGCTAGTAGGATTCAAGACTCAAGATCTTCTTACATCACACCCAAACTAGGGTCTGGTGTAAGTACACATTCATCAGAAAGTGAAAATTCCGTCCAATTGCAAAAAGAAATGAATGCACTTGAGAGGAGAGAGAGGGTAAGAAGAAGAAGAAGAAGGAAAGAAGAAGAAGTAAAGAAGAAGAAGATGATGTACACCAGCATAGACCAATGATAATGCTCTTCTTCTTCCCCAACCACTCTCCTCCTGCTTATATTCTCCCCTATTATTCAAACAAGAATAATAATAACAATGTTGAATGGCTGATCCAGAATCAATGTCCGATTCCCTCTTCTCGTGCAGGTATCACTTGAGGTCCACCATAGCCATGGCCTCCCCACTCTCTCCTCTCTCATAGGCCGAGGCTATGGCGGACTACCAGGGCATCGCCCTGCTGTCCAAAGGACAACACAAATCAGCTATGGCTGCTCTAGCTCAGGCCGCCATGCCTGAGTCTGCCTCAAAACTTCTTGGTGTAGCTCTGCCCCAACGGGGCCTTCCCGCTGCAGCGCCCACCAAGGTGATGAAGATGGCAACCACCATAGACAGGTAAGTACCTCTGGCGCTCCCCTTCCTTGTCCTGGTCTTCTCCCTCCTCCGTGTCTTTGCTCCTTCCCCAGCAGCGTAGCGGAATGCTAGCGCTGCTCCAGCCAGCGCTCCAACCAGTGTGCCGCCAAACTTGCAGACAGACAATGACGAGGAGCAACTGGCTCCTCCTGGAGATATAGCGGCCTGCTTGCCTCTTGGCAAGTGACTTCCCAGGCAGCACAGCCTCCAAGCAACCAGTACCTACTCCCTTTAGGAGGGAAACATCATTGCAATGCAGACTCTGATATTGCCCATACATGCCCTAGAATCAGACTGGTTGGACTGGTACCCACCTAGACCTAGCCTACAACTACTGGGCCTCTAAAAATGCCAACTTTTGTCTTCTTCTGCTCGGCCTCGAGTACCTGGCACATCTACCTCTACCTGGTGTGGTACTGGCCTACCTGTTACTTGAGTGTTTTTCGCTGCTTCAAGTGCCATGGGCCTCTTTCCCAGCCACTTGAGTGTTTTCCCCCGCTGCAATCCTCAATGTCACGGCCACAGGTAAGTACCAGCCCCTCGGGCCCACTGAACGATCAAGTGCCCTTGCGGGTCACACACACACTCAAGCCAACAAATACTCAGACAGACATGCAGACTAGCAAGCGTGCACACACACAGACTTAGAGAACTCAGTAACAAGCGGGAAACTCATCAAGGCATTCATTCCATGAGCAAAACTAAGAAATCAGCTGTCTCTCAGTCCGTGTTTGGTCTGGTCATTACATTAACCCCCTCTTAAGAGCGAGGTCCCTTCGAGCGAGTAACTCATTCCGACTCCCCGACAAACTCGTCGTAAGCAAACAAAACAAAGAGATTTCGAGAATACTCAGTAAGTTTTGCAGAGATTTTAGATACAGCATCAGAGGCTGTTTGTCACTCGTAGGCTTTAACAACGCGAGGTTCCAATAGACATCGTCCAAAGAGTGATTCATAAAATGAATCTGGTATTACGTCCCTTCCCTACTTGTTGTTTGATTCTATCCATCTCATGACCGACATTGATTGCACGGGGAATCATGTCTTCATGATAATCGAAGGACTCTGCATCACGACGAATATACAATTTGGATGCATGAAAGACTGGGTATGTGAGCAGATGAGGAGGCACAGCAATTGCGTATGATGGGCCAAACTCATCCTTGCCAATCATGTCTAGAACTTCCCACGGACCACCATAGCGCGGGAGAAGTTTGCGTGACACTCCCTCTTCTTCTGAAAATTCAGACATCTTGACCCAGATATCCGAAGGTCGGTGTTTCTTGTTTCCACAATGGATCATTCGTGTTGTCGCTTGGTCATTGCTGCGAGGGCAACTTTGAGCAAGCGATCGTACTTGGCACGGAAGCCAGGCCTACCGGGTGTTAAACCAGCTGGCTGTTCAGGGAATAAGTAGGAGAGCGAATTACGAATCTGCCAACTGTAATGCAGCCTGTTTGGCGTCATGCCGGTGGAAGAATGAATGGAGTTGTTGTACAACCCCTTGACTGAATACAGCCCTTCATCCCACGTTTCCTGATCCGGAATGATTAAAGTACTAAGAACTTGGAACACAGGCTGGTTGATCTCCTCAGCCAAACTGTTGGCTTCGAGAGATGTCATGCTCAGTTGAGACCAAGGAGTTGGGAGATGAAGTCCTTCCATTCAGTACTTATGAAGTGTGCGTCTCGATCACTCACAAAGGTTTTTTGTATTCCGAACTGCCAAATGTACTTCTGGTGGAACTCACGGATCACACCTTCATTTGGGGCATGAGGTGGTAATGGAATCAGATTGAGGAATTTCGAAAAGCGTTCAACAATCACCATCACTTGCGAATAACCATTCTTACTTATCTTTCCCATGCCCGTGAAGTCGATAGAGACAGACTCTCCGGGACTATCGGGAATGGGAATAGGTTTAAGCAGCCCCATGGGATTTTGTCTTGATGATTTGATTCGTTGACAGACTTGACACTCAACCACAAAATTTTCAGCCCATCCTATCATGCCAGGCCAGTCAAACTTTCTCAATAGGTTTCCCTACGTCTTTGCCATGCCGAAGTGTCCACTCTGGCCATGAGCCAAGTCTAAGAAGTACGTGGGGTGAGGCTCATGGTTGGGTACACACAAACAATCATTATTTCCGTAGCGTCGTCCTTGGCAGTTTTCTCTACGAGGTCCTCCTTCAGTTTCTTCCAGAGGTCGTAAGAGTTCACAAGGCAAGTCATATACTTGAGGTAGCGAGATAATGCATCAGCAACTCCATTATAACAACCCTCTTTGTATTTCAATTCAAAGTCAAAACTATCAATCTTGTGGAACCAACGAGTTAATGCAGGGGACAAGGTGGTTTGCTCTTTGATCCACTTCAAAGCCCCATGATCTGAGAAGACTTTGAAGTGGTGTCCCAAAAGATAGTTCTTCCAGTGATCCAAGGCCACGCGCAAGGCATAGAGCTCGCGCATGTAGGTGGAAATATCTACCTTTTTGCTGGGCATGCATTTGCTGTAGTACTTGAGCGACCGCAAGCCATCACCGTCATCTTGTTGCAGCACTGTGCCAATCCCATACTGGCTCACATCTGTAATGACAACGAATGTGAGTTCGGAATCTGCAATGTGGAGTACAGCGTAACTTTCCAGGCCTTTTTCAAGGCTTGAAATGCAATCTCACATGTTGCATACCATGTGTAAGATACATTCTTACTTGTTAATCGGGACAAAGGGCGAGCAACAATAGAGAATCGGGGCACAAACTTCCGATAGTATGATGCAAGACCAAGGAAAAAATGCAATTTAAGGATATTTGCAGGTTGAGGCCAATGACATATGACCTCAACCTTGGTTGCCTCAGGCTCGAGGTCTGCAATAGACAACCGATGCCCAAGATAGATGACGTTGTCCCTCCCAAACTCAGATTTCTCTAAGTTGAGATGGAGTTGCGCTTTCTAGAGGATGGTGAACACTTCCTCGAGGTGATTCATATGTTCCTCGATGGACTTGCTAAAAATCAGTATGTCATCGAGGTACATAACCACAAACTGACCAATCTGTTCACGGAGGACTTGTCCATAAGACTTTGGAAGGTGGTCGGTACGTTTGTGAGACCGAAGGCCATTACGGTGAATTCGTAAAGCCCATCACGTGTCTTGAACGCAGTCTCGTGCTGGTCCGTAGGATCGACTTCAATCTGGTGGTATCCAAACTTGAGGTCGATCTTGGAAAAGACCTTGCACCCACCTGCAGCATAAGCAAATCATCTATGTGTGACAATGGGTATGCATTCTTCCTCGTGATGCGGTTTAGACCACGATAATCAATACAAATGTGAAGTTTGCCTCCTTTCTTTGTGACAAACGAAACAAGTGCACGAAATTCAAATTCGCTAGGCTTCATTCATCCCTTGTCGATCATCTCATCGATTTGTTTCCAATGTTCCTCCAACTCACCGGATCCCATTCGGTATACACAATCCTTTGGAGGAAGAGAGGTAGGCAAAGAAATAAAATTGCTAGAAGTAGTTTCGTCAGGTAAGTAGAATTAGTACTAGTCGCAAAAGTAGTAGGCACAAGAGTAGGACGAACGAAGGCAACACACAATTTTTCGTCCTCCTTGTGCTTGCGCCACTTGAGCATACCGGATCTCTTGTTGAACTGCGTAGCATTAAGAAAGGTCACCAGAGAGTCAAGTTTCTCGTCCAAGAGGACGGGACGCTCGTTCCCTTGTGCATCTTTGACCATGAAAAGTGGTTCCTTCCACTTGGTTCACTCGCATTGGGACTGCAACCAGCCCAACCCAAGGATTGTGTCGAAGGGACACTTCTCAAGGACATAGAAGTTCAATGCGTGTGTGATGGTTTTCTCTTTGTCAAAGGTAATGCGCACACCTTTAACTACATGTGTAGATGAGACCTCTTTGTTGCCTACTTCAGTCCGGCAAGCTCTCTGCAAAGCCACTTGCTTCATTCCCAAGCCCACATTGTGTATCCCGTGCAGTGACATGAAGTTATTCGTAGCACCACAATCAATTATGACACGAAGATAGCGGTGGTTGATGAGAAGTTTGAAAAAGATCAATTTTACTGTCCCTTGACCACGCTATTGTTTCATCTCAGCTGAATGCTCTAGGTGATAGTGAAAGCCAACCTTCTCTGACTCCTCCACCAAGGCTCAACACACAAAAGATTACATTCATTAGCCTTGGAATCAACAGAAGACGGGGCTTCAAGGGAGCACTGTTCGTCCGTTACATGTTCCTTTGGAGAACTATCATTGATCAGTTCAGACTCCCTTGCCGTAGAGTGTGATGATGAACCCTCTACACCCAATTCAAGTTTCCCTGTAGCCTAAAGCATCCTTGGACTTCGTGATAAATTTACTCGCAATGCAGGCAACCTCCTTTCTTTCTCCTAGCCTTCCATTCAGCCTCACTCATGCGGAGGTCCACCCAAGGGTCCTCCGCATGCCTGGGATTTTGGCTCCCTTAGGAAGTGCGACAAAGCTCCTCACTGAATTTTGTTTTTGGCTTCCCTTAGTATGGGCAGTCTTTTTGAAGGCATTGAATTTCTCATCTTAAACCACCAGTATCTCGCCCAACATGAAAAAGTCGACGCGGTCGTCGGGCAGGGTACCCACCGACGAACGACCAGTATTCCCCAAATCACGGGGACATAAAAAAATAGAATAAAATAAAATAAAACCGTCGACGAAAACGAAAAGTAATGAACGAAAAATAAAACGGGCGCCGCAAGGGGGGGAAGACCGAGAGAGAGAGAGAGAGAGAGAGAGAGAGAGAGAGAGAGCGTCAGAGTGTCTGACACCGCATTTGGTGCGGCGTCAGACACTCTGACGCTCTCTCTCTCTCTCTCTCTCACACACACACACACAATGGCCATATGAAAATGAATCTTCTGTGTTATCGCGAAAAATTCATTCTCATACGGTCGTTGTGTGTGTGGGTGTGTGAGAGAGAGAGAGAGAGTCGCTACGTGCAAAGTTTTTTGGGGCCGTGGGCGCATCTGCCCATATTGTAGCGGGAACTTCAATCTCATTTTATTATTTGGAGAGTTATTGCGGAGGCGGGGGGGGGATGCGCAGTGTCAGTCAGCGTCATATATTCTGAAGCCCTCTCTCTCTCACACACACACACACACACACACAACGTCCATAAGAGAATGAACCTTCCGCGTTATCGCGACAGATTCATTCTCATATGGACGTTGAGAGAGAGAGAGAGAGAGGGTGTCTCAGAGAGAGAGAGAGAGAGAGAGAGTCGCGACGCGAAGTGCAAAGCTTTTTGGAGCCTTGGGCGCATCTGCCCATGTTCTAGCAGGAAGTTCATTCTCATTTTGCACATTTCGACAATTGTTTTTTTTTTTTTTTGGGGGGGGGGGGGGCAAATGCGCACTGTCGGACTCCGAGTTTGGCGCACCAAACTCGGCGTCAAGACACTCTCTCTCTCTCTCTCTCTCTCTCTCACACACACACACACAAACACACACACACACACACACACACACACACAACCTCCCACGAGAATGAATCTCCCTCGTTATCGAGGAAGATTCATTTTCGTTGGGCTTGTCCGATTTCCTTTTCTTTTCTTTTTTCTTTTTTTTTGCAGAATGTGGTATGTTTTTTATGTTTTTTTCTTTTTTTTCTTTTTTCCTTGTGTACTACCGGTTGTTCGAGGCTCGACAATAAAGTACGAGGCTCGGGAACAATTGGGGTATCGGTAGTCCTAGCCTCGAACTTGATAGCTGAGCGAGGTACTGGTGGTTTAATTATTAATATCAAATTCTTGAGTGGAAGAGTAGGTTGTATCAGCGTCCTGTTCTTGGCCGTTGCCAGGAGTGGGGTCATCTGCTTCCGCCTCCCCTTCCACCCAACAAGTCAGGTAGACTCGAGCACAGGTAGACAGTTGCTGCCACGAAACCGTCTGCAAACAAAAGTCTTTTTGTTGTTGTCTCATTCACAATTTTCATGCATGTAAACAGCAGCGCAGCAAACTGGCGACATGCGCCCCCTCAATACTCAGAGATACGACATCCAGATAAGAGTTCACTTGCAACTGGCTATGGCGACTCAGCGCCCAAACAACTCACTGTTCACACACACCGGATCACCCTGGATATTCCACATGCGTCACTCTGAACACTCACACATACACACACACACTTCCCGCTAACTACAGTTATGGCAGCTATGGCTGCCTCTACCCTATCGCTATACTAGACTCCTCTCTCACCCACTGCGTCCTCCGGGCTCACTGCAGACCTCCTTGCACAAGTCGCTATGGCAACGCTTCCGCATGGCTCACGCAGGAATGAATGAATGGTTAGGCGCTGCCTCTTGATTTATACTTCTGCAGGTCGTTGGTCTGGCCCATTTCCCTTGCCCGAAGTGCACACAGTTCATGTGCGGTACTTGCTTGACTGACTGGGGACTGGGACTRTTGACTCAGCAGAGTAGACTTCTATCACTTGCCCACTTGCCTCGCCACTTGACCACTTGCCTCTGCTTAAACGTGGGTAACTTCGAAAGGCCACTACTGGGACCTTCCGGAAGGCCGTAGACTTGGCCTTTCGAGACTATAGCAGCTACGATTCTTACCCTTCTGGACTGTAGCAGCTACGACCTTGACCTTTCGAGAAAACTACAGCTACGATGTCTAGACCTGACTAAGACTCCTATCCGACAGGTCTACAGATCGAACCCATGCTACCTATGGACCCTACGACAACCTATCAACTGTTACAAATACACAGGCCGCGGACCGACACAGGTACTGTACACAGGTAAGGTTGGGGTCTAGGGATCGAACCCTGGGATCTGCAGCAGCTACTGCTAACTGGTGGAAACCGTTTCACTCCCGCTGTCCAAAATTCGAGGTCCTCCGAGAATGTTTCAGTCCAAGGCAGGACCTTTATCCTTCTTATCACGCTCATAAGCTCTGACTATGTCGGGAGCTGTTTCTAGAAGTTCTGTCCTTGTAAACCAGCGGTCGTCTTCCGGTTCTTGATAAGCAAACCGGACTTTATACTGTTTGTGGGGACAATCCTACCTCCTGTTCTAAAGACATCTTCATCTCCAATGCCGTCAATGTCATAACTTCCATCCATATCTGGGGGGATCATGGATCGTCTTGAAGGGAACTGTTGACACACGGCAACAGCTTCGAAGCATGAAACACAAGGTATGTGTGGAGGTGTGCTGGAATCTCTATAGTATAGGACGACCCATCTTCTCCGCCCTTGACTTCTAGAACCGGCCACGATCCTCTATATGCAGGCAGTAACTTCTGTGAGATGTTCTCCTCAGATGCAAACTCTTTAGCCTTGACCCAAACTAAGTCACCTACCTGAAACTGCGGTAGGCGATGGGGCCTGTTAGCCTGTTCTACCATTCTATGCTAGGCCTTCGTGAGGTTCTCTACAACGGTTGCTAGTTCTTTCTCGTGCTGTATCGCAAACTCCCTGGTACCAGGCGGTAGTCTGTGAATCTGATCCCAATTCAGTCCTTCGAACGGTCTGTGTGGTCTAAAGGACTTGTGTAGCTCATTGGGAGTGTCGCAGGTGGATAGATGCACGCTGTTGTTGTATGCACTAGCTACCTCAGGCAACATCTCATCCCAGTTGATCTGATCTGGTCTAATGTACATGCGCAGAACTTGTTGTAGGATCTTGTTCATCTGTTCCGTCTGACCATTAGTCTCTGGGTGTCGGCCAGACAACATCAACAACTTAGATCCGTAAACTCTCATGAGTTCTTGCCAGTTCTGGCTGGTGAAACGACTATCTCTATCGCTAACTATTGACAATGGGATTCCATTCTCACTCACCCAAAAGTCAAAGATTTTTTGTATAACTAAGTCCGTACGTGCCTCTGCAGGCAAAGGAACAAAAACTGCATACTTACTTAAACGGTCAACAACGACCATGACTTGGCTTTTGCCATGTCTACTTTTAACTTGGGTGTCCATTAAGTCTATGGACACTGAGTCTCCTGGCTGATCAGGAATAGGTAAGGGTCTGAGGAGACCTAGAGGGGCGCGCGTAGTAGTCTTATTCCTCTGGCACACTTTGCAACTACGAACATACTCTATGTCGTCATTCTTCATCCCTGGCCAGGTGTACGCACGCATTAGATTGGCTAATGTCTTTTGCCAACCAAAATGTCCCTCAGTATCGTGGCATTCCCCTAGGATCAAACTGCGGATCTCTTCGATGTTGGGAACGCACAGGCGGTCAAACACATTAGTCTTCTCAAACAGTAATCCCTCTGTAGTGCGGTAATCTGGCTCAGTCTCTGGGGCCTCTCTAACTCTCTTTAGGAGGTCGCTATAGATAGGGTCCTGCGCATACGCTTGCTTCACTTTCTCCTGCAGGTCTCTCCCTATATCGAGATAATGTACTATGGCTCCAAAGTAGTCTGATCTCCTACTCAGAGCGTCCGCAACTACGGTGTACTTGCCCTTCACTGGCTTAAGCTCAAAGTCATATTGGTCTATCTCTGCAGCCCACCTAGTTAACTTAGGTGTCATCTTGGCCCGAGTCTTTAACCAACGAAGCATCTCGTGGTCAGAATACACTTTGAAGTGCCTCCCAAGCAGGTAATGCTTCCAGTGCTCTAGGGCCTGCCTGAGAGCGTAGAGTTCTCTCTCGTATGTCGAGGTGGCTACCTTCTCTGAGGGCATCCTCGCTGACATGAACTCTACGGGTCTATAGCCATGGCCGTCATCCTGCTGTAACACGGCGCCTATCCCATACTGACTCGCGTCCGTGGTGACGACAACTGGCAAAGACGGATCTGCAACTTTGAGGACAGGGTACTCTATTAACGCGCGCTTCAACTTCTTGAGTGCAGACGTACAATCTTTATCCCATTGCCAGATTGCCTCTTTCTTAAGCAACCTGCGCAAGGGAGCGGCAATAGTAGAGAAGTTCCTTACGAACTTTCTATAATAATTGGCTAGGCCTAGGAACGACCGCAAATTTGTCAATGTGCGAGGCCCAAGTACAAAACTTCCGTCTTGGCCCACTCGCACTTCTTCGCGTTGATCTTGAAGTTTGACTCTCTCAACTTCTCCAAGACCTGCCTCAGATGACCCTGATGCTCCTGGAGGGTCTTGCTGAAAACTAAGATGTCATCTAGATAAACTACGACAAATCTATCCAACCAGGGTCTAAACAAATCATTCATGCAACGCTGAAACGTAGCTGGCGCGTTGGTTAGTCCAAATGGCATCACTATGAACTCATAGTGCCCATATCTAGTCCGGAAGGCCGTCTTGTACTGATCATCAGGATGGACTTCAATCTGATGATAACCGGACTTCAAATCAATCTTAGTGAAATACTTACAACCCTGCACCCGATCTAAGAGATCGTCTATCCTGGGCAGCGGCTCAGCATTCTTCACAGTGATCGCATTCAAACGCCTATAGTTTATACACATACGAAGTTCTCCTTCCTTCTTCGGGACAAACAGGATTGGTGTTCCAAAAGGAGACAAACTGGGCCTGATCCAACCTTTCTCAAGGAGTTCGTCTAACTGCTTGCGCAGCTCCTCTAACTCTCTAGGGGACATCCTGTAGACTGCTCCCTTAGGAGTTCTACTGCCAGGCTCTATCTCTATCCTGTGCTGGATGGGTCGCGGCACTACTCCTGTCAGCGACTCAATCAAATCTTTGAATTCTTCCAGCAACTTGGCTATGGTTGGATCTGTGGAACTATCCTCTTTCTTGGCCTCAGTGACAGGTCTAACATAAACTACAAAGACCTGGTCTTCTAACTGCTCCTTTTTCACTAGTCGCGTGAACGCGAGAGCACTGAGACAGCAATGTGCCAAGGTGTTGTCTACACCTGACACATGAAACAGGCGGGCGGTCTTAACCTCACCTGACGGACTAGGGAGCCTACACTCATGCTCTCTCAAATGGAGTGTGGCCCCTGCTGCCTCTCCCCAATCCATTCCTAACACTACATCAAAAGGAAGGTCATCATGTATGAGGAGAGTCAGGGAATGGAGGACCTTCTCCACCTTCCGATGGCGAAAGTACACGTGGACTCCCTCTACGAGTCCTCAACTCGCATTGTGCGGTTGTTTGCGAGGACACTGACTATGGGGTCTGCTAGCTGTTCGACTTTTAATCCTAACTTCAGCTTCTTCCGCGCCCTGCGGCTAATATAACTACGGGTGGCCCCTGAGTCTATAAGGGCCCCTACTCTATTCCTGAAAACTTCTACATCTACCAAGATTAACTGTCCTTTACTCTCTTTCTTCATCTTGGCCCAGGCTGGCATCCTCTCCTTCAACTCTTCTGCCACACCTGTGAGGGACGTGCCTAAAGAGACGCTAACACAGGCGGTCTCTGGACAGCTGGCTAGGCACGGGCCTGCAACCTCTGCCATAGGCTTATGTGGGTTGGGAGTGTCCTGTTCGCGCGCGCTCTCTTCTCCACACGGCCTTGAAGTAGGGGCAGTTGCGACCCCTACTGGCGGCTGCCTTTTGACTGCTGGGCAGCCCAACGGGCCTGTCTATACTTGGGACAATATTTAATGACATGGGCCGGGTCACCACAGAATACGCACTGACCCTGGTCCACGCGCTCCTGCCATACGCGCTGGTCCAAGCCCAAATCTTCCCAGGGCCTGCCCTGTGGCAAGCCTGGGTGCCATCCTCCTTGAGGTGGCCTTCCACCTCGTCGCTGTGGGGACCGATTACCTTGGCGATTTGGCGGGGCACCTTGACCCCTACCTCCCACTTGGTGGTTTCCTTGGCCGCCAACCCCCTATGCGCCCGGTCCTCGACCTCCCATGGCCTGGCCCCTTTGGCCCTGACCTCCTCCTCCACTTTGCGGCCTCCCTCCAGCCGTGACAGCATCATAGGACCTCCCCTGTCCCAAACTACTGTCCTCCTCCTCAAGGCCCCATTCAATCTGACTGTACGGGACCTCGTCAGTACCACCTTCCTCTAACGTCAGGATCATGTGATCCTTGACCTTGACTTGGCCAGAGATGGTACCGCCCTTTCCACCTTTTTCCCTTCTCCAGGTCCTTGTGCTAGAAGGTGGTAACTAGCATGGACTTTGACTCATACAGGATGACTTCTCTACTCAATGCATCATAGGTGATGCCGTCCTGCTGAGATTTGTCAAAGAAATGCCCACGTAGGGCCTCTGGCATGGCACGATAAAATAATTGGACCAATTGGGGCTCAGTGACCCCATGGTCTGGGACGGCTACCAAGTCGTCCATAACACCCTGGAGTGCTCTTGCACTCCTCCACTGTCGTGAGTGGATTGTTTGTAGCTTGTCAGAGGCGCGAACGCCTCTCGTTGGGTCTGCAAATCACTCCTTCAGGAGCTTGAAGAATTGAGGAAGAGGGGTGACTTTAGAATAGGCAACCAGGTTGTTTTCACAACCGGCTGCGCGCGCAAGGGACCTGGCAAAACTAGCCGCCTCATCCTTAAGGGCCTGGAAGGCCACGAGGACTTGTTCCTCTGACAGGATGTGCTGTAAATATATATAACTATTGACACTGGCCTCCCAGTTGTCAAAGTTCTCCTCCTTCTTCCCCCCGTATGCATCCTTGAGCTTTACAGGCTCTTTACGGGGTCTGACCTCGCCCTCTACAACAGCTATTGCTTTGGCACCTTCAATGGCGCCTGCGCAGTACTTCCCTACGTTGTCCCTTATTTGCCTGACCTCACTCCCAAGGTGGGTGACAATATCGCGCGCAAAGTCTCTGAATCCCCACCGCATGGCACTCAAAGCTACGTCTTGGCTCCAACTGGTCGGGCGCTCCTCCATCCAGGCTTTGCTCAGTACCTCTACGTAGCCCAACACCTTATCCCACTTGGCCTTGTCATCTGGCTGGGCCAACACTTCCTTCCTACACTCCTGCACCTTTGCCACCTTTGTGGTCAGGTTGTTCACTTCCTCTCTCCTCCTCTTCTTCTCCCTCTTCATCCTGAACTTCCATGCTAACTTCTGCTCCTCCTCCCTTTCTCGCCGTTCCATCGGATCTTCCATTGCTGCTAGCTCATTGGCCAGCGCTTCCCTCTCATCTTGAGTCACATAGGACTCTGCCTCCTCATCTTCTCCCAACGATAAATTAGCAAGCCACTCACTTATTTTCCTCTCCATCTCTGCGTCTGTGTCCCTCTTCGTGCCACTACTTCCCTCTCTACTCTCAATACGCATGCTCTCTTTTTCTTCTTCTTCGGCATCCTTCTTCTTTTTCTCCATCTCCTCCTCCAATTCCTTCATCTTGGCCGCCTGCTTCTCATACTCTTTCCTCTCCCTGCTCTCTTTCACTAAGGGGGCTATCTTTTCTTGCTGCTCCTTAGTGTAGGGGCTAATGTCTATCCCACTACGGGTCTCAACCATGGTGACAGGCGCACAATCAGAACGATTCCACTCCTCACCACGTAGACTCTGACCCCTGACTGACAAACCTACTGACTCAATCTAAGGACTTACAGAATCCTGACAGGGATCCTGCCAACTATGGTCTCTAGCCTAGACCTACACTATGGCTGTCACTACTAGACCTGTTGCTGATCAGGAGGCATTTAAGGAGATCCCCCGAACTCCTCAAGAATTATTTAACGTCGCAAACAGGACAACGCGATCAGCAGGTCTCTCAAGACTTGGACGGTCTGTCGTCCAGCCCACAACTCGAATTTCGAGGCCTGCCGTGCCACACCGAGCAGCCCGCCGGTCAGTACCGGTCCTTGGGAGGGTTTGACCTCCGGAACAGTCGAGTCGTCAGACACAGTCTTTAGCCCTACTCATCCCGTGTGGGTTTGGTCAACAAGACCCTGTCCTTCATCCACAGAGTACTAGCACCTAGGACAAAAGAGACTCAATGCAGAAAGAATAGACAGACAGACTAGACTCAGCAAGTACCAAGGGGTGTGTGCACATCCATAGGGCGAGGGGTAGGCTGAAGGCTTGGCGAGATTTTACCAGCTCCATCTTGGTCAAAGTCTTGGTCAACGCCTTGGTCAACGCCCTTGATCAACGGCCTTGGTCAACGCCGATCAACGCTGCTATCAGCCCCCGGTCAACCCTCGATCAACTACGGTAACCACCGGTCAACACCTCCGATCAACCCTCTTGGTCAACCCTCCGGTCAACTATGGCTGCGGACTCTTCTTCCTCGCCAACCCTCTTCTTTCTTTTCACCTTCCTCGCCTCCTTTCCCCCTGCTGTCTTCTTTTTTTTTTTTTTTTTTTTTTTTTTTTTTTTGATCGGCCCTCACTTTGCCTCTCGGCTATGGCCTCCTCTCCCTTCTCGGTCTCTCCCTTCTGTCCGGTCTCTCTCCCTCCTTCGTTACTCTGTGATGATGCTCCGCGGCTATGGCCGCTTCTTCTTCCTCCACATGGGACTGCACAGTCCGCTTCACAGGTACGTCACAGCCAAACTTGTATCGCTCATCTCTCTCTCTCTCACCGTAGAGGTATCTTCAGCGCAGCAGGTACGTAGTAACCCAATCTTGTATCGCTCAACCTCTCTCTCTCTCTCCCTCTCTCTCTCTCTCGGTCTTCTTCTTCGTCGTGGTCTTCTTGCAGGTGTGCGGCGGATTCTTCAACCTCAGATCCGCTATGGCGGACTACAGCCTTCGGCGGCCACCTGAGCTATGGCGCATCAGGTCCTGCATACGACAGCGTGCATGGAATAGCGGGAACCAGATCTGATACCAATGCAATCAGACTCGTCTCATTCACACTTTTCATGCATGTAAACAGCAGCGCAGCAAACTGGCGACATGCGCCCCCTCAATACTCAAAGATATGACATCCAGATAAGAGTTCACTTGCAACTGGCTATGGCGACTCAGCGCCCAAACAACTCACTGTTCACACACACCGGATCACCCTGGATATCCCACATGCGTCACTCTGAACACTCACACATACACACACACACTTCCCACTAACTACAGCTATGGCAGCTATGGCTGCCTCTACCCTATCGCTATACTAGACTCCTCCTCTCTCGCCCACTGCGTCCTCCGGGCTCACTGCAGACCTCCTTGCACAAGTGGCAGCGCTTCCGCATGGCTCACGCAGGAATGAATGAATGGCTGGGCGCTGCCTCTTGATTTATACTTCTGCAGGTCGTTGGTCTGGTCCATTTCCCTTGCCCGAAGTGCACACAGTCCCGTGCGGTACTTGCTTGACTCACTAGGGACTGGGACTGTCGACTCTGCAGAGTAGACTTCTACCACTTGCCCACTTGCCTCACCACTTGACCACTTGCCTCTGCTTAAACGTGGGCAACTTCGAAAGGCCACTACTGGGACCTTCCGGAAGGTCGTAGACTTGGCCTTTCGTGACTGTAGCAACTACGATTCTGACCCTTCTGGACTGTAGCAGCTACGACCTTGACCTTTCAAGAAAACTACAGCTACGATGTCTAGACCTGAATAAGACTCCTATCCAACAGGTCTACAGATCGAACCCATGCTACCTATGGACCCTACGACAACCCATCAACTGTTACAAATACACAAGTCGCGAGTTCAACTCTACGGGCCGACACAGGTACTGTACACATGTAAGGTTGGGGTCTAGGGATCGAACCCTGGGATCTGCAACAGCTACTGCTAACTGGTGGAAACCATTTCAGTAAGGAGATCTCCTGCCTCCAGATTGACCACATCCTTCATCAAGCAAAACTAATCAGTGTACCCAAAAAAATCTTTGCCTGGGCGATTGGTTATATGTGTGGGCAACATCCAAACACGATTTCGCGGTCGGATCCAATCCTGGTGTCGAAAAGAGTTTGTTAACATGCAACTGCAATTAGTGCATGGTGCCTTGCCACTTGCTGCGCTTAAGTTTACCGAGTTATATCCTTACTCTAGCTACAGGATGTGGGTCTTTATATTGCTCTATCAGGATGTTTTTGAGAGTGGAAGTCGGGGGAACTTTAAGCCACTCTGTTAGTTCGATCTTAGGATATCTAGCTTGCATAGCTTGGACCTCTAAGAAGCCCCGTACAACAGCCTCGACGTCCGTCCCTACGATCAAGGACTGGTTCACTCTTTGAGTGCCCTGTACCTCAAAGTAGGCTCTCATGGAGCTGATCTAGGACTCCACATCATCATCGCCATCATATCTGGATGGTATCATCACTGCCTTTATGTCCATGTATGGACTGCTATAGCTAGGCCCAACCATTGCTGGATCCGAACTCAAGATTGAGGCAGTTGCAAAACTTCCTGCGCTGCCGCTTGTAGGGGTAGTGGGAACAACACCTGTTGCAGGTTTTGACTGAATAACCACCAAACTCAACAAAGAAGAAGAAGGATGGAGAGATGCAAAGGTAGAACGGGGAAGGGAGCTTGAGATTTGGGCTTGATGAATGTTTTCCATTTGCTGTAACTGATTGCGATGCTTTTTGGCCATTTCAGCCATTTGAGTACGCATCTGACTCATTTCATCGAGTAGTTGGGATTTCAAACTCGGGAGTTCCCTGAGCAAATGGTTATCTGCAAGGGCACGTATTTTATTGACAACATATTTCTTAACATCTGCATCAGGTATAGTTGAGACTGTTTTGAAAATAGCCTCAAGATCTTCAGTGACTGTTTTTCACTTTGCCTCTTCCACTTTTTCCGCCTCGGCCACTTCTTTCTGATAGAGGGCCACCTACAACGGTTTATCGGCCTCACTCGCTGCATCCATACGAGCCTTCAGAATATCAGAAAGCTTGGTTGATGCCATGTTGGGACTACTAGCACCTTCAGTTGTCATGGCCTCTCTCTCTTCTCTCTTCTTCACGCGTCTTTACATGCAGTAAAAGAAACAAACTGAAAGCACAAAAGAGAAGGTAAAACTCCTAGCTGGAGCGGCAAATGTTTGGACTAAAGAGCAACCAACAACAACAACAAAAATAAAATGAATTTTGAAGCGAGTTCTGACTCCGCGTTTTAGTCCGATCAGACCAACTACGAGATCCCCTCGAGCCTAATCCAACCGGCGCCGTCAAAGTACCGCAAATCAGACTACAAGTAACATCCTACAACAATGGAGAATTGAGTGGTGTACAAGGTGCAGGGCAAGCATTGGACTGTGCGTCATCAGTCGGACAAAACATCTTATTCGAGATCCCCTCGACAGCGAGTGCTCTAATAAAAAAGAAGAGGAACGTATTCCAGACAGAAAAGAGAGCGACACTGCATCAACAAATTTGGATCCAAGGGGCCCTACTTGTTTGGGCCTGGTCCCACAAAGTCCCAATGGGTCCCGCATAGGTCGCGACCAAGTCCCAAGCAAAAAGAGTACCTCAAGGTCCTACTTTTTGCCTATATTGTACTAAAAAACGAATTTCAACTTCAAGAGAGAACCCACAGACTACGTCCATTCAGAATGAAAAGACAAAGCCCTGTAGGAAGATGTGACATTCAAAGCAAGGTACTTCATCTCCACATTCATCAGCTTAGTAAGCAGTTTGCACACCAATGCACACAATCAACACTTCAGAGTAGGTTCAAGTCCGTAGTCTCACGCATGGACATTGGCAGGGCGTTAGAATGACGCACGGCTGGACACACACCCCTTGGCTTGACGCATGGTAAGCTATCACAGACACTGCCTACGCACCACCCAGAGGACTGTCCATGGTGTTGTATGTTGGGTCCTGGCCTATGAGGGATTTGGCTGATACAATTAGCAATCTAATGAGGATGCAGGTACGAGTTTGTGGTTAGACTGCTCATGTGTGTTGGTTACCTTAGGCTCTGCTTTGGGGGGGGGGCAAGGACCTGAGGTGGGATGGGGGGAGGGTTGGCTTGGGACAAGCTCTGCTGGAGGATATCGGTGGGGAACCTACAATAGGGAATTGTCTTAAGGGATCTCGGTAGGAGGGGTGCTAGTAGACAGACTCTAGTGGAGGAAATCGTTGGGGAACCTAGAGTAGGGGCTGTCTGAGGGGGATCCTCCAAGATAGGATGCTCTGGGTCCTATAAATTAGTTGTCGACTGTAGATAGGTACCTGTCGTGGGTCCAAAAACTGACCTCCAAAGGAAAGAGACCCAAAAGTACCCCAACAGGACAAACAATACCATGCACGCATACATGGGCAACCCTTAGGTGCACGACACTTACCTGACTGCCCCACACTCTGAGATGAAGTATAACTCACCCCCCCTTCCTCATATTGTCCTCCTAACCCTATTCGCTACCTCTACACTAGTGTCCTATCATGTAGGAGGGTCTGACTCCAACACTAAAGTGCAACGCCAGATCCCCCGCCGATGCCGAAGAACAAAGTAGCAACTTGCAGCCCGTAGATACAGAATGGCTACCTCCCTCAAGATCGCCTACTTGAGGGAGGCCCTCAAGTCACCAAGTGTCTCCTTTAGGTCAGATTCCAGGTGCGAGTGCCTCTCACTGTCACCTCTCTCAACTTGTCGCATGAAGTCCTTTTCATGTGTTTCGCCACCACATACTCACTCTCAATCAACCTGGTCAGGTTCAATGTCGACCTGACACGAC